TGTAGACTGACGTTGTTCTAATCACTTCGTTTAATAATAAAGAATTCAGCTAACAGACTTTATAATCATTGTGAAATTGCTGTTTATTTTGCTGCACCGGCAGTTATAAGGTTAATGTGGGAGAGACGAGTGAGTTAGTTAGGCTGCTGCGCCTGTGATACAGTTCTGCGTTCTGATTAAAAGTTAAGACAGAGTGTCTTTTGTCTGTCGTTCTTCAAACATTACAGTAGACATATTTTTGGTTTACAAACTGTATCGTTTCATCAGTTAGTCACGTTAGCACTCGGCTAACGTATCCACCATTATTGTTTTAAGTGTTCACAGTTTAGCAGCTAAACTTTAGCTGTGGGCACGATTTGCTTGCACAAATGCCTTTGATTAACTGATTATCAGCAAGTGTGAGCACCTCTGTAAAAGCAGATGTTCTGGCAGTTTGCTGGTCTGGAGCCTTCGGGTGTGTGTTAACACAGTGTCAACGAGGTAAAACATCAGCAATGATCTTAGAGAAGCAGTTGTTGCTGCCATCAGTCTGAGAAGAGTAATACGGCCATTTCCAAACAATTTGAAGTCCATCATTCTACACTGAGGTAGATTATTCACAAGAGGAAGACATTCAAAACAGACACCAATCCTCCCAGGAGTGGACAACCCAGCAAATTCACCCCAAGATCAGACCGTGTAACGCTCAGAGAAATGGTAGACAACCCAAGAACTTCACCGCAGGCTCCACAGGCCTCAGTTAACATGTTAAATGATAAAATTCATGACAGTACAGATGGGACAAGTATGGCATGTTTGGAAGGCTTGCCAGAAGAAAGCTTATATCTAAAAAAGAATGGCAGCACAGTTTAAGTTTGTAAAGTTGCATCTGAACAAACCATAAGTCTTCTAGAACAATGTCCTTTGAACAGATGAGACCAAAGTGGAGATGTTTGGCCATAATGCACAGCAGCACATTTGGTGAAAACCTAATGAGCATATCAGCACAAACACCTCATACCAAAAGTCACACATGCTGGTGGAGGGCTGATGATTTTGGGCTTGTTTTGTAGCCACAGGACCTGGGCACCTTACAGTCATTGAGTCGACCATGAACTCTGTATACCAAAGTATTCTAGAGTCAAAAGCTAAAGCTTGGCCAACATTGGGTGATGCAACAGGACAATGATCTCAAATACACCAGCAGAATGGCTGAAAATAAAAAAATCAAGGTTCTGCAATAGCCCAGTCATAGTCCAGACCTCATCCTGACTGAAATCATGTGGTGAGAGCGGTGTATAAACAAATACCCACATACATCAATAAGCTGGAGCAACGTTGTAAAGAAGAGTGGCCAAAATCCTTCCCAAATGATGTGAGAGACTGATAAAGTCATACAGAAAATGATTTCTTCAAGTTATTGCTGCTAAAAGTGGATCTACAGGCAATTGAATCATAGGGTGTCCTAACTTTGTCACACATGACTTTTCCATCATGGCTTTATTTTTGTTAAAGGGGTCATATGATGTGATTTCAAGTTTTCCTTTCTCTTTGGAGTGTTACAAGCTGTTCGTGAATTGATAAGATCCCTAAAGTTGCAAAGACTAAAGTCTCAAACCCAAAAATATATTCTATTTAAAAGTTAAGACCCGTCCACGCCCTCCTAAAATGCCTCGTTTAAACACGCCCCCACATGTCTACGTCAC